ATTTTCTTTTCACCCATTTTTCACCCTTGCAATCAAACGCACTCTTAAATTTGAAGTTGGTAAAGCTAAACCTCTTGCTTATAAAATATTCTCCATATTTTTTCCCCAGAAAATGGGGGTCTCGCGTTTCAGTAACAGTGACTGCCCACATTTCAGGAGCCCGACTAAGCAAAGGTCGGTGTGAACTCCACAATATAGATCTACTGGTAAATATGGTAACATCTCCATGGATAATGTCGAATGCCTTCAGTCAATTTTTGAGTAAAAAGAGCATGATAACGATGACGAGGAATAGATAACTAGCAACTTGAAGTTAATAAATGAACTGAAAGGCCATGTTTACAAAGATGGAGAAAAAGTAGTACTAAAATTTTTCAAAAGAAGTTTAAAGAGGTAGCCTACGCTTAATCCGTTTGCATTAGTAGGCATAGACAATTCCTTTAGAATCAGCCTCAAGTGCCCTGGCCAGTTTATGGAACCAATCCACTCTTTCATGTTATTTTCTCATTCATTCTGTCTACTTTCTTCGTTGCCTTGGAATTGCAAGTCTTTGTACCTTTACCAGTGACATTTACAATCTCAAAGTCGGAGGTTGTCTTAAACCCATGAATCTAGTTGATAATAAAGTTTTCATCAAAATGGTTGAAGTAATGATGCTACTTTTTTGTTGTCTTAATAGCATTCGCGACAGTGTAATACTTTAAATGCACATAAAGCATAGATGCTTAGCTCAGCTTCTTGCTGGATGTGAACTGGACACAACCATATTGGATTGTTTTTCTTTAATATGGACTAGCATTTAGATTTGGCAATTAGGCCCATAATGGGATGGGCTTTTTATTAACACACATATGGATGCCCTACTCCCACCCCACTTAATATAGAATTGACCCATTGAATTCTATATAGATTGATATACACCCTTTTCCTCGTAATGTTCTAGATAGTTCTCGGTTGTAAGGGTTGTGGAGGGGTTAAGAGAGTATTTCTCTCCATACACGATTTCTTCCTCTTTTGCAGGTAAGACAGGGAAATGGAAACTCAACCACAAGCCATTTGGAGGTATGTTTTTATTGTTATTGTTGAACACATGCTATGAAAGTTGAGAAGGGATCATTGGGAATATTTAATTCTGACAAACCATTCTACCCAATCTGTCTACTCGTAGAGAACTAGCGTAGGCATTTAAGCCAAGGACCATGCTATGTGTACATAGCATGGTACTTAGGGGTGTACATAATGTGAGAGGGGTGGGGTCCGCGCTACAGTAGCGAGGGCCCCACCCCTCTCACATTATGTACACCCTTATGTGTATTGCTATGTACACATAGCAATGTTCTTAAGCCAAAAAAAAAGAATATCCAAATAGAATGCCAAACATGGTACATATACTAGTTTCAAAGTGAATTTGTACAACTCTGGCTGTTCATAATCTACTAGTCCCTTTCAATTTTGCTAATGACAATACACACTGACCTATATTTGAATTTATTTCAAAGACTTTCATTACACTTAGTGAACATTCAATTGATGTATTAACAATCTAATGTCATCTTGGGGATTCCAGCCCACCCCAGTGCTGCCTTCTCTATGGTTTGCCTTGATATGGGGTTTCAGTGTTCAAATAATCCAATTATTCTACATTTTTCCCGTTACTTGTATATTTTTCAGTTAAATTAGGAATTCCAACTTCTACAAGAGAGGCGGCCTGAAAATTTGCTGAGGGATAAAAAAGGTCTTGCTAATTTAGGCTATGAAAAGTTCCACTTGGCAGCATCATTTCAACCTGGAAATGTAATCCTCCTCCTTCTCAGAGACCTTGGCCTTTCACTTTGAAAAATGCATCCTGACCTACCTACCTTTATGAGAACACCCTCAACAATAGTTTTCTTTTCACACTGAAATTATAAGGTTTGACCCAAACTACATCTAGAGATGCAGAATTAAAAATTCATAATTAAATAGCAACAAGTAACTTTTAATTATTTCTATATGATTAATCAAAAGTCAAATTTTCCTATATTGAAATATCGCAATTATATGAAAGCAATAAATAAACACCAAGAATGATCACGAAGAAACCCTAGGCCCAACTGGGTAAAAACTCCAAGCACTTTGTCAGTTAACAATCTACTATAAACGAATTAAAACTTACAGTATGCCGACTCGCCTACCACTAGTACTTTCTGACATCCTCATTGCAATTTTCATAGCCCTCCTAGATTGCGTGCTCATGTACTAACTCTTAGCTTTATGAATTCGTCTATTTTTCGTGGATCAACGAAGAACTCTGCGTTCTTCAACAACAACTGGATCTCCAGTCACCTTCCATTGATCTTTAACACTCTGATAGATAAGTAGGAATTAGCAATTTGATATTTGGATTAAATGGTTTTGATGTTTTCAATGTTAAGGACAAAACAATCAATGAAGGCTGAAAGCTATGGATGGAGAAGATATGAAACAATCAATGTTTTATCAATATTCAATCAATATTCAACCTTAAGAAAAGACGTTCAGAGGTTATCTGGTATTTATATTGTAGGTTTTGGAATGAATGGGCCGGAAAAAAAGGCTAAAAAATGAGAATTAAAATTCTTCAAATAACCGTGTTGTTCGAGCAAAAGTTGGGCGACATGCGAGCGACGGTGTGTCGCTCGAGTGAAGGTCAGGTGATAAGCTAGCGACAATATTTCTGTTTCTGCCGCTCGAGCAAAGTCATGGCGATAGTCTAACGAAATTGTAGCACTTTTTTTCCTTCTTTCCATTCTCGAACCCTAAACCTAATACAACTCAATTTATAATATTTGCAACTTACTTTTTGACTTTTACAACACATTAAATCTAGTCCTTTTTGTTCACAAATTTTCTAATTACATCAAAAACCTAACACACAACCAAAGAAGACACATGACGAGACAGAGAGTTGAAGGGGCAGCTGAAGACTTGAAGTAATGTAGAAACCGCAGAAGCCATTGGGCCTCAACCTTTTGAGTTTAGAGTCGTCATTGGAATTTGAACAACTGTTTTACGAACCAAGCCATTTCTTTTCCAGTTCTACAAGAATGCCATCCTCCATTAGAGTTAGAATGGCTTCAGAGATATCGTGTGCTAATAGGGAGCCTTCCTGGAATACCAGTATAGAAAAGCAATAGAATTTCTATAAATTTATGCGTCAACTCCAGCAATATGTGCACAAAATTTTCCACACAACTCAAATTAGTCTGACCAGTTACAGAGTACTTACGAATCCTAGTCCTCCACTGTGCAGTGATCTTTGAGAAAACTTGTTGGTAAAGGAGTTCAAGAAATGCAGCTGAAGTTTTCCCACTCTTAAGACTCCTCCAGATCGTCTTGATTGCTTATGGTTTTGAAATTTTTTCGTGGTCTTGTGTAATTCATCGGTACACTTCTATATTTTTTCTCCATGAGTTTGTTCACTTCATCAGATATCTCTACGTAAATTCTGCCTTTATGTCAGTTACAACAAGTTCCAAAATTGACGATTTGAACATCCCTTTAACCAGAGAAAAGCAAAATTTCCAAAATCTTTTTTTGAGGATAAGCATTAATGTGAAAAAACGTTCATCCATTTTATATCTAGATTTATAAAGCAAATTCTGGTCATTTTACTATTAGCATTTTCATGGTGAAAAATAAAGGAAAGAAAGGGTCTGAGTATATAGAAGTCTAAGCCTTCTAGTAAACTATGATTTGTAGATGAAAAAATAAAATGATGTCAAAGAAGATTTCTAAATTTTACATTCTTGTTGGGTTCGAACTGCAGATCTTGGATATGTAGACTAATATCACGTTCCCGTACAAGCTTCTAAATCCAAAAAAAATGTCATATTTATGCCTATCCTTGAAGAAATAAAGTGCATTTTACCGGTTAGTCCCTCCAAATCTGAGCAGGCCCGCACATTTTGCCACCTCTATGCCAAAGAAAGTTGATACACTACAAACCAAACAATGCGACACATTTTCGCACCCACACCAAACATTATAACACAGCTCATATACATTTTCAAGAATGCTGTTTGATACAATTAGATGTCTAAATACTGGCTTCCTACCCGGACCGGAGCCGGAAAGGGGTAATATAGCCCAAATGACACTAAACAACTAAACAGAAGAATATATGAATTTCTTTACATGACTTTCTATACTTCAGTGAAGACTCAATGGATGTACTGATTAAGTTATATTAAAGGCCAGATCCAATGCGGTTCCCTGCTGTAGTATGTTATACAGTATGTTTGGTACACAGGATCAGACTTGGCTCGACATTATTTAAATGCTGTACAAAAAGGTTTAGAGCCATGCTATTCAAATAGACAAAATTGACAAAAAAAAATGGTGACAGACGCACTTGGCGGGAATTCATTGGAAGGTGGAAAACTTTTTAAAAAAAACGGACGAATCACAATCTGCCACGTGAGTCTGTTTCCAAATCCTGTCATTTTTTTCTGTTTAAGTGGCTTTATCGTAAGGTTTAATCCACCTTACCAAATATGCCACTCAAGTTCGAAGAGAACACGAGATGTAATTAGCATCCTTCAGTAATTCTACATTTCTCCCATTGTTCCGAAGTCATGTATTATGTTCAATTATCTCTGGGAGACTTCTGCAAGGAGGAGGCCCGAAAAATTTGAGAGGCACCGGGAGGACTCCCTAATTCAATCGTTTCAGCACCTTTAGACAAATTAAATGTGCTTCTCCTCCTCAGAGACTTCTGCCGTCCACCATGAAAATACTGCTCCAACCTATTCATTGTGTTAGGAACACCCTCAACAATTTGAGCAACATCACATGCATGTTCTTCACAGACCTTTAATTTCTTTTTCAACAACCGAAGAGCGGAAATGAGGAAACAGAGAGTCGAAATGGCAGCAGAAACAAGGTATAGACCCCAGAAACTCCTGAAACTCAATCTTTCTATTTCAGAGTTAGCATCATAATTTGAACGACTGTCTGGTGGACCAAACCATTTCTCTTTCAAGCGACTAAGCTTTCCGTCCTCCATTAAAGTTAGAAGGGCGTCTGAAACATCGCGAGCTATTGGAGAATTTTTCTGGAATGCCTTTATATGAAAACCCACAAAAATTGATGTGTTAATTCAGTAATACTTGCAGAAAATTTTAGGAACTTGACAACTCAATCGCAAGTTACAGAATACTTACAAACCCTAGTCCTCCAAAACTGTAGGTAGGTCCAGTCACTGTATACTCGTTGCAGTGATCTTTGAGAAAAACGTTCTGGTAAGGGAGTTCAAGATATGCAGCAGAGATATTTCCACTCTTAAATTCCTCCGAATAACGGTCATGGCTGCTTATGGTTTTGATATTTGGAAGTTTAATTACATTCCTCAGATAATCTTCTACAAAAGAGCCACCGTCGCATCCAACTGTAGCATTAGTTTTCATTATCCAATCTAAACCAGTCACACTTGCCTCAAGTCGTGGGACAGTCAGCATTGAAGCGAGGTTAGCCTCATAACTTGAGATTAATACCAACACAACAAAGAGCCACACCACAACCACCACTTTAGTATAATTGCTTTTAATTTCTTCTCCTGTAAAATATAGAACCCCGAAATATAAGTATATTGCCTCAGATATGAATCAGAAATAGTTCGTAAATGCTTGAATGTCGGATTTCTAAGCACGTCTGGTACAACAAGATTAAACACTGATACGAACAAAATGTTAGTTTCTTTTTCTTCCACGAAAACTATACGACACTGTCACGTTATTTAAGATGCTTACCATGAGCGAAGAATAGAGAAGAGTATGTAAACCACATTGCATTTGCAAGTTGATCTCTCCGTGGCCCTTGAAATTCTGGATTAGATTGATGCTCCATAAACCAAATGACGAACATTGTGTAGAATAAAATGGCTAAGGTAACCGTCCACATATTCCTAGTGAAAGGCTTCGTAAATATCCACTCCATCTGGGGTTCAGTTTTGACTGGAGCCAACATTGACAAACCAGACTCCATAAACGGTTGAGTAAATTCTACAGTTCTTGAACGGTCGGCTAAGATGGTTATATCGCCCACAGCAGCATCAAAGCTCTTTCATGCACATTGCAAAAAAAGAAAAAAAAACAAGAATTAGTAAATATGTTTAGTTATTTAGGTTTTGAATACTTCATATTTCTTATTGACAAGATGGAGTTATGTGCTTTTTAATTACAAAATTTAAATTTTTATGGATCAATCAAATGTACGCGGACGTCTACTAATGAAACTTAGATCTCATTCATACTAGAAGAAGAAAAACAGTCAATATTATAGATCCTTTATTGAAAAGAAGAATGTCTCAGATGAAAGTACTACCTTATTGGCGACATTCTCAACCAGGTCACTATAGCTACCCTTGAAGGGCACAAATTCATAATGCAGGGGATATCCCAATACTTTTATCACCTCTTCGAAAATATCAATGCAAAAACCATCATATATCTTCTCATTTGTCTTTTGGACATGCTTTACCTTTACAAACACTGGGAAGGAATTGTTTCCTGGAACTCCAATTCTCAATGGGGCTACATCGGTAGGCATTGCCCACCCTTTTGGGACTCGATCCAATTCCCCTGGCCAATTTACCAAACTGCGCAATTCGTTCATACTGTCAACACCAATAACCACACCGCTTTTCTTCTACACATGGCTCTCTGAGAAGTTAAATTGTGATGACCAGAAACCTAGCTCTTTATAACTCCTTCCAACAATGTTAATAATCTTGAATATAGATTTCTGCTTTAATTTCCCACTATGGAAACGAATTTCACCACTTAATCCAGTGAAATTGCTGGACAGAATTTCATTGAGCAGCAACTTTGGATTACTAGTATTGTTCCCACCTAATTCTTTCACAGCTTCCGCTATAGCTGTAATGCTATCATATGCTTTTAGAGCATGAATTCCAAGACCCCAGTTGTCTTCATCTGGATACTCCAGTCTGAAATTCTTCCGAAATTGATCTTTAAAGTCTAGAAAATGCCTGTTGTTTTCTGAATAATAGCTCTTGATACCTATAGCACCTTGTGCAGAAGAGACCAAATTGGGGTTAAAAGAATCCAGAAAATCTGAAATAGAGTCTGTCAGAATCCATACTGAATCTCTACCCATTAGTCCTATCTGCTTAGCTTCTCTGAGTAAATGTGTAGCCAGTGGTAAGGATGATTGAAGAACGATAAAAACTCGAGACTGCTTCCTCAATAACTCCGCTGCTTCTCGTCGAACAAACCCCTCTGGATCAGATAGAGACGAGAATGGTGGAAGGATGAGATCATACTCAATAGCTGCACCAACATTTTGAAGAGCCTCCGATAACATAGGAAGCAACCCAGAATCAGCAAAATAACTGCTGTCTTCATGAATTACTATTACTTTTCGCCAGTGGTAGGAATTGACAATAGCTGCAATACAATTTATCTGTTCCTGGCTATCGGTGGCCATCTCTACCAAGAAAGGCCATCGATTCTGGGTCGATGGCTGTGTACTGGAAGCTGCAACTAATGTAAGGACTGGCACTTGCGCTGGCTTTCCAACATCGGAGGCTAATGCTGCTTCCTCCCATGTTCGTGTCCCAACAATAACTTGAACTCGATTCCCTCCAATCAGCTCTTTGGCTGCAACTCAAGAAAACGAATTGATGATTTCTGCTGGATAATTTTTATTATAAGAAATCATAGTTTCAAGGAAGAGAAATTTTTTGGAGACATTTAAACTGGGTATCGTGAAAAATCATTTTGTCAAGACCCATGCTCGATTTATCTGGATGCGGCATATGGCTTATTTTGTTAAGAAGGAGAAGGAGAAGAATATTGGTATAAAACTGTATATTAATTTTTTATTGAGCTTCTTACAAATAAATAGACGTACAGTAAGCTATGTATGGAAAAATATACATAAGGTAAATTGACTAATTTCAGTGAGTGACAAGAGTGATGCTGAGATTAAGCTAATTTGGGTGAGGTGATCGTGTCCTGAGATGAAGCTAATTACAGCTTGTCAATATATTTCGAGTATAAATTATGACACCTGATGCTATATTAAAAAGGGTATCGTCTCTATATGATGCAACCTCCCGGTTCAAAGACTCTTATATAGAGAATAAATATATCAAGATGAATACCTGTAGAAATAGCCTGAACAGGGTCTTTGCTGATGTTTTTGAAATAAATATTCAGCCTGTGATTCCTTGAATTGT